AGGATCCGGGCTGCCCTCTACATTGGGTTGGGCTTATCAAGCGTGAAGTTTGGCGCTTTGCAAACCTATTCAAGCGATTATCTGTTGAGGACCTCTCCAGCCATCTCCATCTCTGCAGCGGGCTGATAAGACAGCTGTTTCACTAGCCGCGGTCTCCCTGGGCCTCAGTCTTCAGATACAAATCCCGCCTTTGTCACCGTGCCCCGGTGCTGTCACTTGCACTGTGGGGCAAGGGTTGATCTGAACACACGTGGGGAAAAAAAATGTGAGTGTGTGTGAGAGAGAAGAGGAGGGAGGGAAAAAGGAGGGAATGGGAAGGGAGAGCCTGGAGGGAGAGGAAAAGAGTTGGAGACCTCAGGGAGCTGGGGGCAGGGCGCTCGCTCGGCGCAGTTGATGGCTGTGATTGACTGGTTGGTCAGCCCGGCTTTATTATTTCAAATTAGACGTGGATCGCACACAAGTGGAAACATAAATCTTCAATATAAGAAAGAGCCTCTGAGCATCGGAAGCAGAGAAACCGTTTCTTCCCAGGTCCGGGTAAAGGGGCGGGCGAAAAGACTGATTGCTACCGTCTGAGACAGATGGTTTCCTTTAACTTTGGAAACTGCTATTTTTAATTACTTGTATTAATTTTGCATGAGCTGTATCGGCTGCAGGAGGAAGCTTAGAGAAGGCTGTTAGCATCACTGAAAGAGACGGACACGAGGCTCTGATTTGTCCCGTATCACCTCCAGTTTTTTCTTTTTCTTTTTTTAACCCTTGCCTGATTGCCTGGATGCTCCCCTTTACGCTAACAGAGATACGAGTTATCCTCCTAAAAGTTCCTCCTGAGTAACCGACGCAAGATAATTTGAAGATATTCGTGGGAGTGTTTTGTAAATGATCTTTGATCGCAGGCTAAAACACAGTGGGGCACATGGGACAGATCTTGGTCTGAAATCGGCAGGCAAAGAAGGGCTTAAACAAGAATGTGACTCATACAAAAATATTCCCAGGAGAAGAGGGAGACAAGTGGGGTCACAATGTAGAGTCATCTCCCAAGATTTACTGGAAACTAGTATGAATGTGTGTATATATATATAATTTCACATATCTCTTCAGGTAAAACAGGAACCAGAGGAATTCCCCTCGAGTATATTTTATGTTGTAGCCCTTCCCCTGGAAGAGGAGTTGAGAGACAAGAAAAGGCTGTTCGTGATCTTGCAGTATGCCTTACTAGACACTGTCACTGCTAGAGCGTTTGCAATATAAAGGGTCCTTTGCAAAACAGTCCTGAGGTACTCACCTTAAAGGGTAAAAGACATTCCCTCTTTTTCCGGGAGTAAAAGCACCCCAGAAAACAACTTGGGGGAGTCAAGGATGAGTTCTTGCTGCCATTCCCACTGGAAATTTTCAGAATGAAAAACTCTGGAGTAGGCTTGCCAGACTTTTCAGAGAGCACCGAGATTTGCATTTATTTTGCAAGAACAAACACCTTGATGAAAGGAATGCTCCTCCAGGTCAGGGGTTGGGGGGGTAGGTGTAATAGAGGAAGATGCCACACATTCAGGCTCTAACTCTGGGGTTTGTCACAGTGACCGAACCCTAACAAAATCGAGCCTAATTACAAACAAACCTGTTCCTACAGCGGGCAGTCTCTGCCTCGAATCCGTAGTATGAAATGTTTCCCCAAAGTGCTCTTACCGAGACTCAAAGGGAGGAACAGAAAATACTGTACCAATCTTGCTCTGCAAACTTCACCCTGGCCGCTAGGCTAGTCTCTGTCCATGGTGCTAATCCCTGCCTCATTCTCCTGTGGGCTCTCAGGACCTAAAGTGTTGCAATATTTCCACAACTTTTCCTGTTTTTCAAACAGTGAAAAAAAAAATCTGAAATACTCTTTTAAGAAAGAAAGGTAAAAAAGGTAGTGGGCAGGTTATATAACAACATTTCTTATAAAGGATTTAAATAGCATTTTTCCATTATGAACATAAAACCTCTCCAAAGCTCAACAATCAAACAGTATTTTAGTTCATTTGAGAGGGTAAACTATTTAGAATTTCCAAGACACGACAAATGGTAATTCATACACATAGTCAAATCATTTTATTTACTGTTTTAAAAAGTTACAAAGAGTTTGCAGAGCCTTTAATTATACTCAATTCACCCTTTCTCCTCCTGTAAAAGGGCTCGTATAAGGAAGTTATTTATCTTAAACAACATTGTCCACAACAGCTGTAAGTATTCCTGTGAGGGGCATATTATTTTCTGAGAAAACTTCAGTAAAATAGCCAATTGAGTTCTTTAATTTTCAGCTCCAAAAGGCATTGCTTTGCATTTTAGCAACATCCAACTTTTCTCCACGCCTCTAGCAGCTCCCCGAACTCTCTCTTTTCTGCCTCAAGTCAAAACAGGGCTGAGTCTTTGGAGAGTGTCAGAGCTAGCATGACTTAATCAGAATTTGAATATCTTGAAGAATCTGTTCATCTAATGGAAGTTCAGGCGCTGAGGATAATTCTTTTTCTTCACTATGAATCAAGAGGGATTGATTACAATTTGTGCTTAATTTAGAAAGGATGGTTGCATATAGTCTTCATTAATTGCTAGAAGTATAGTGTACTGTAATGTTTCAGGGTATGACATGAATTTCAAAGTAAAGTCTACATCGGATATCATTTGGATTAAAGCAGCTACCATTTAGTTTTATTTTTAAAAGCTGGAAAAGTAAATGTTGTTTACCTATTTAAAAGTTTTAAAATTTAACAACTGTCTTATTTAAGGAGTAAACTACTGTTTTAAGATATTTTCAACTTCCTGAGTAATCCAAGTCTGTGTTGTCTACAGAGACTAGACAACATGTTGAATATAACTATAGTTTGAAAATATTTCCTCCTTTGCCAAACTGAGTAAAAGCATATGTACCGAATCCACAGAATTTAGTACTTTGCATTTGAATCAACAGCTTTACTATTTTCTATGTAATATCTTTGCTAGTTTCCACCTATAAAAAGGGATTTACATATTTACAAAGTTAAGAATTTTCTTCAAAGTGCTACAATGATATGAACATACATAAATAATGTAGTATCAAAGTGTGAACATGGTCATAAGGAAAAATATATATTATTTCATATACAGTTCTGGAAAAATCAAACAGTAGCATACTTTTGCCTAAATGACATTTCTTTCCTTGCACTGAACTGGTAGGTGAGAGGAGACATTGAAGGTATATGGCAGCAGACCCAGGCTCCTGTTATTCAGACTTCTATTGTAAATAGGGATGCAGTCTTTCTTATATTTAGCCTCTTGGCTTCATTTCTTCAAGCTACTGTTTTTTGTTTTCTTAATTTTTGCCTGTAGTTTTGCTTGAGACTAGATAATAGTTTTAAGTTGAGATTAAGCTCCAAGGAGCTATTGTTATATAAAAAGTAGGGGGTGGGAACTAGGAAATGATAATTATACATATAGGGTTCAGGCCCCTTTTCCCAATGCCAGTTATTGTTATGCAAAGCAATATAACCTAGACACTGTTACACCCACCGGTTAAATGGCAGATAAACAGGTCCCCAGTTCTTTGCCATTAATCATTTATCAAACTCAAGGACACTCTCAAGGAACACTGATTCACTTTCCCCTTCCAAGTCATTTGCTCTCAGACCATCTTTCTCTTTCCCTTCTGACATCCCACCTTCCTGCAATCTTTAATGCTCACCAATGCCTCCCCTCTTTAACACTATCAAAGACAGTGACTAGCAGCAAATAAAACAGGTAAAATAATTTTTGAGAGAAGATTATGCAAGAAATGTATGTTCTCTCTAGGAAGTTGAGGCTATCTGTCAAAGCCGAAAAATTCCATCTGGAAACAAACTAAGTTAGGTGGCTATTGTTTCTCTTTATAACTCGAGGCAATCGAGTAACCCCACTTTCACTTAAGGGAAGAAATACATATGAATTAAACTGTTCTGAATATTAATAAAATGTGGGGTTGGAATAAAGGGATCTTCATCCATAAAGCAAAGACACAGACAGCACTTGGTCTATTGGTCAAACTTTTGCATACTCAAAAAAAAAAAAACAAAAAACCCTGGTAAACTGTCTTTACTGTCAGCACTCCATGTGTGGTCCAAGAACTGTATTGCCAGCAAATGCAGAGGAGTGGCTTGTTCTAGTTTATATACAACTGCTCTTTTTACCTTCAAGTGAAGGACTTTATCTCCACTCAGTACCTGTTTTTCTGCACAGGATGTTTATGCTACCCCTTTCTTATTCTGACATGAACTGAAAGCCAATTCAAACTATACAGCTTTAATTGAAACCATTAAAAAAAATTCATTCTTATTCTAAAAGGAGGGAGGGAGGAAGAGGGAGAGAGAGAGAGAGAGAGAGAGAGAGAGAGAGAGAGAGAGAGAGAGAGAGAGAGAGAGAGAGAGAGAGAGAGGGAGAGAGAGAGAGATCAATGTGCACATATTAAAACAGAGAAAAACACACGGCTACCTAACATCTAATACAGATTTACAGATTACTGGAACACAAACCGAAAAAGGCATGCGGACAAGTAATGGGTGTTACGTTCATCCCTCTCAGATCAAAGAGAGGAGCTCTCAATGACTCATACATACCGGACAGTTTACTATTATAAAGAAATATGCCAAAGATGCAGCCGTGGGGGCAAATAAAACGAATCTTTCGGAAGCAGAAAGACTTAAGAGGAAAATAGATGGTGCCATATCGCAAACTCTCATAGTACAGTTCCACCCTCCCACGTTGCTTTCTCCCATCTCTTTTTGCTTCTTGCATTTCCCTTCGCCGCCAGTGTTAAGTGTGTACCTCCCCGCACAACTTACCTTGAAACGGGACTCCATTGAGTTCTCGAGAGTGACACACGTCTCTAGCCAATCGTCTGGCAGAGCTTCGCCTGGGCGGCCTCAATGGAAGCATCGCGCCCAATCAGGAACCTGGGGCGATGAGCAAGTTGCGTTGTGGCACGACTCGGCGTATACTTCCGCGCGTGCTGCCCGGGATAGGACTCTGGCAGAGCAGCTGCACACACGGCAGTGCGGAGGCAGAGAAGGGGTTGGTGATACGGTGCTATAAATCTGTGGTCCAGTCCACCTCCCTTTTAAGACGTCCTCCCCCCTTATTTCTGTTCTCACTTAGAGATGCAGCAGCTTACTCCTGTAGCGACCTACTAAAAAGCAACAAGGAGAAAGACATCGTCTTTTTGAAAAAACGTTCTTTCGTCTCTTTTCTTTGTTCCTTGGTTTGTTTTTCTTGCCCCTTTTTGTTTAGTTGAACGGCAATAGGAGGGTAGTCTCTCCGTCTTTTTAAACTCTCTTTTTTAAGTTTCCCCTCCCCTTTCATATTTTTTTCACCATTTCTTTTAGCATTGGACTTTGGGGTCGAAAGCATTTCTTTTTATTTGCTTCTTTTAAGCCGAGCACAGTTTAGGTTTCGTGCTGTCTTAAGAGAACTATCCAGCAGCTTCTTGCTCATCCTTATTGGGAGAACTGCACCGTTACTTTAAAAACACACATACACAAAAACCTTAAGGGAGAAAGGTAAGTTTCGGTTTGGTTTCTTTAATCATTAGTTGCAGCGATGCGCTGGCAAACCCAGAAAACCTGTAAGTGAGCGGAATACAGAATGTGAAGTTAATTGCACATGTTTGCCTCATTTCAAAGCGACTGCTTTTTTTCTTTTCTTTCTTTTCTTTTCTTTCTTTCTTTTTTTAATTCTAGAGAGCCAGACTAAAAGATAGTGGACGCATGCTTAACGTACTGAATTTTCGCAAATGTCACTGGCAGAAACTTAAGTGGTAAATGTGGTCAGGATACAGCAGGGCTACAATGGGAGGCTAGATGCTGAGTGAGCTTCGGGGTTGAGGTTGGAAGTTCATTTCGTGGGAAGAGAGGGATAACTTGAATGTTGGGGGGAATGCATGCCTCTACTTTCTCAAAGGAATCGGAGGACCGGGGAAATCAGAAGCCTGGACTTGCTTGCAGGTTAGACCAGGGGAAAAAAAAACCGCTCAGCTTAATTGCATTAACCAGATAGCATGTGCTGGGGAGATGGGATTGCCAGATGGAATTTAGATGCTGCACCAGGCAGCGAGTTGTAGTTGACTGAAAAAAAGTACATGCAGCCTGAGGGCTGGGGCTGGGCAGGGGCTAGGGTGGTTAGAAGCTGTCAAAACTCATCTTTGCCAGATACGAGGTCTCTGATTCACGGAATCCAGTGATCGTAATTCAGATTTTAAAGAAGATTGCCAATTTGGGGCCGAATCTTTGAGCCTGTACCGGATATGAGATTCCCTTTGTTCAGAAAAGCGTAAATAAGATCCTTGGAGCTGTGTGTGAGAAGTGGCGGCTGCTTGGGAGCCTCGCGGTGCTGGGCTCTGGGCAGTGGATTCCAAGCCCTGTCCTTGGTCCTACGCAGCGGAGCCCGCCTTCCGGGAGAGGGGGACCCTCTGGCAGCCGCAAGGCATCGCAGCTACCCTGGGAGCTGAGTCGGCTGCATAGCCCTCAGCCCCTCCTCGCAGCTCTCCTTCCTGGAGTAGCTATTGTTAAAACTGACGCCGGGAGAAAGATGGTTGGGGACCAGACGCTGGGCAGACAGGCACACGCTTCATTTTAACTTTTGTGATTTCTCCGGGTGCAGGGGAAACCAGTCGGCTTTCTACTGCGAAAGAGCGAATCCCGGTAGACGTGGGAAAGGGGGAGGATGCTCGCCGGGCGGGGAGGGCGGGGGAGGTGGTGGCGGACCGAGGTGCTGGCTTTGCCTCCGAGAAGTTTAAATTATTGGCACGAGGGGGTGTGGGTGAGTGTGTGCGTGCGAGCGCCGAGTGGTGCTCAAGACGCAAAGTATGGGGGCAAGGTACAAAGCTGGCCCGGGTGTTTGATCTCTTGCTGCTCCCTACCCCACCCACACGCTGGTTCGAAAAGCCAGCACTCTGCTACCCCCCCCACCACCCCAACTCGACTCTGCCAAGGGCGTGGGGGCTAGGGATGGCAAGGTGGCAGTGCCCACCCTGGAGCTCCGTGGCAGACAGGACTTCTCATGGCCATTGTTGCTTAATTTATGCCCAGCACGTTGCTACGTACCCACCTATTTCACGTCTATAAAGAATTAATAGGAGAGCTGTACAACTGTGGCAGATTGGAGGGTGGATACGGTCCCCATTTTCTATTTTCAAGTATGCGTTTATCAAAACTGACCTCGAGATTGGTTATTTTCTCTCCTAATTATAGCTTCAGGTCTGGCTTTATTGTGTCGAGGGTGAGAAAAATAATCAGCCATTTAGTGTTTACTCTTAACACCACTGGACGGGGATGGATGGATGTCCTGTACTTCCCTGAAATGCACAGGTTCTGCTCCTTCCCCCACCCATGTACAAACATTCCATTTGGTTAAGACTCCAAACCTTCAACCTTTCTCCACACCCCTGTTTATTATCGCTATTGCCAGGGAAGTGGGGGTGGGGGATACATACGTTTTATTTTTTGGGCCTACTGTTAACTGCAACCTAAAAAGGTAGGCTTAAAATGAAGGGCGTTAGGGGAGTACAACCTAGACAGCATAACCCAATAGATTATCTTCCTAAATGATAATCACTTCCTAAAGGTCAGAAAAAGGGTGTTTTGTGGGGAAAGGAGGGTTATGGATGTTTGTGCCCGGAAGATAATCCTTGTAAAATGGCTTCTTAAATGGGACATCTGAGAGATTTGTCAAAATTGAACAAACAAGTCCATGAAAAAGAAAAATGTTGAATGTTTCAAAGTCATCATTTAAGAGATTAATTAAAAAGCTGTTTCCGCCTGTTATCTCTGCCATTCTCTGAACCTGTCTTAGCAGACCCATGAGTCTCCCCCCCCCTTCCATCTTTTAACCAAGGGCTTGGGCATTCCCTTTATAAACCTAACCGGTTTTGGCGTTCTCTAGGAGAACGAAGATTGTAGACAGAAGTGGTTTAGTAGACTTGGAAAGTATCTGTTGAGAGAGGTCTCCTAACTTCAAGCAGACATCTTCAGAAAGTAGAGTGAAGGGCATTGGAAGGGTTTCAGGTCTAGATTAGCAAATTGGGTAGGCCCATTTCTCCCCAACATTTCAAAACTGGCATTCTTAGCAATAATGCATGCCTGGGACAGGAATATTGTAATTAACTGTTTAGAGGGAGGTCAAAGAGGTACCGGCGATTTGAGCAGTTTTGCTAGGAACCCACACAAAGTCAGTTAAGGTCATTTAATTCTAACTCTGATTTGGGGTGACACAGAAATGCTGATTTGAATCAATTAGCTATTTCTGATGTCCCCAACCTGGGTCTCCCAAATTGAGGATGGCCTGTCTCCATTTTGACCATGATTGTGTTCCCTAATTTACTATGCCTGATTTCACTTCCCTTTAGAGGGTAGATTTGCCTCCCTCCCCAGCCCTAGGTTAGAGGAGTCCTCCCTCCCCGCCCGTCGCATGGGGGCGGGGAGCGCTGGGCGCCCTTAGCGAACCTTGCTGCATCAAACCCGCATCATGTCCTTGAAGCTGTAACCTCCGTCACGTTCTTGCGGCGACTCGATCGCCCACTGTTCAGTTCTTTCCTCCTGCCTCCCGCAATTTCAGGTAGGTATGACAGGTGATGTTTTTTTAAATGTAGTTTTCTAGAGGGAAGGGTTAAAACTGAAACCTTTTCAATAATAGAAAAAAAAAATCCCAGTACGACAGGTGCTCTGGTAATTAAGCCGCCAAGCAGGTGTAAAAAACGTGCGCGGCTCTGTCTCCCAGTCTTGGGTCTGGGTCCAGGGCAGACACAGGTTTTTCGGGGTAAGGGGGGTTGAGCCGGGCGAGGGAGCAGGCTGGGGATAGTCAGCATTCGGACGCCCCCTCGGAGTTGGGCCTTTGAGTGGCTGGCGCAGGGGTACTGGGAGGATGTGGTTCACGGCAGGTGCAAGCATGGTCGAGTGTAGGATTTCCTACTTCACATCTTGAGCAGAGTACAGCACCCCGCACAGGTACTCAGGGCTTATTTAGACCTCAGATTCTGTCTAGGGAGGTGGGAAGGCGCAACGGGGGCTAAGCTTTTAGTTTTCCGTCGAGGGACAGGACCTTTGGGCTTTGGACGAGGGGCGGGGGAAGGAGCCTCTAAAAATTCTTGAAAAACATGTATTCTCCGTGTATATCTAGACCTATTACACTCGGCGCACGTACATTATGTCCAAAGTGACCCCTGCATAAGCCGGGGTCTCCTGGGTCGCTGCTCCGCACCTCTCGGTGTGCCTGCAAACTTGCTCAGGCGGCCCCGGGAAGCCCCGTGGAGGACGCCTGGTGGGAGCCTCTGCCCCCCGAGGGTGGCGGAGCCCGGCACACGCGGGCCGGCGGGCGGCGTGGCGAGCTCGCCTCGGCCCCGCCTCCTGGCGCGCTGCCAGGCAAGCCCCGCCTCCCCGCCCTGCTACAAACGGCGGGACCGCGGCGCCCCAGCGTCACTGAGGCAGCAGCCGGCCGGTAGGGCGGGGTTCCGCCGTGTTCCAGTCCGCCTTCCCGCCGCCGCCAGCGTGACTCCTCCGAGCGGTGCTGACGGCCGGCGGCGCGAGCCGGGGGAGCTGCAGCCGAGCCGCAGCAGGCAAGTGTGGGGGGCGTGGGTGGGGGCGGGGACGGCCGCTCCTCCGCTGGCTCCAGCCCAGACTCCCGGGCCCGGACTCCGTGTCCGCCCGCCCGCCCGCCCGCCCGCCGCCGCAGCGCTCGGGCAGCGTCCGGCTCGCCTCCGCCCGAGAGAGAGCGCTCTGGCCGGTCGGGGCGACAACGCCACCGGCGACAGCGGAGGTAGCGCCCCTCGAAGTTCCTGCAGGGGGACCGGGCGCCCGGCACCGCCCCTCCCGTGGGCGCGGGGCGGCGGGGCGGGGGGAGCGGCGGGAGCAGAGCGGGCCTGGGAGCCGAGCCGGGGCTGGTGGCGCCCGCCGCGTGCACGGGCGTGGACGTACTCTGCACCACGGCGTGTAGCGCCACCGGGGAAAACTGCGCCCAGACGCAGGTGAGTGCATTGGAGGGGGTGTGGGGGAGGGGGCTTCCCGCCCCAGCGCCGGCTTCCTGTGGAGCCTGCGGCCGCCTTGTAGGAGGACAGGCAGCTGCTCTTCTTCGTGCGGGAGCGCGGCGTGCCGGAGAGCGCGGCGGCGGCGGCGGCGGCGGCGGCGGTGTCTGGGACGGTGGTGCCCACCTGGGACGGCGTCTGGAGACTTGGAGAGGCCAGGCGGTGCGCCGGGGTAGCGTGAGGCCGTGGGCACTCGGGGCGGGAGCGGCGGTGATCCCTTTTGCGTGTTAGGCGCAGTCGCGCAAGGTGGCAGCCGGGCGATCGCATCCCGGGGCTGCGCGCTACTGGCGCGAAGCGAAGCGCGGGGATGCTCTGCTCCGCAGGCTTCGGGTTTAGCTAGCTTCCCCGGGTTAGGTGGCTCACCGTGATTCCCGCATTGGCTCCCTCCATACGTTTGCCGGCTAAAATCTCTGAGGCCTTGGTGCAAGACTAGTGAGCGCACTGGGGGAGACTGAAGGAGCCAGGCGGACCAACCTAACTGAGTTTATACCAGCAGGTGCGGCAGTGACAATGACCAGCAGTCATTCCACGGAGAAGCCAACCAGTTAGTACAGGGCCGGAGCGCAAACACCATGCCTCTAGGTGTGAGCTGAGCCTGGAGTTTTACCTGTCCAAACCGTCATTTACAATTATATGCATATTTAATATTCCATCTTTATAAGGAAAATTTCCATCTTCTATCTTCTCTTTACATTTTCTGAAATTGTGGAAAAGGGAGGAATTGCGACCAGTTATGTGCTTTCTTTTAATTCTTTCCCCCAAAGAACGGCGCTTAGCACTGCCGAGATACAGTACCTTCCGAAAGGACAAAAGAGCCTTAAAAACAGTTTTTCTTTCCATCTTATCCTTAATAATTCTTTCTTCACAAAAACATTGCCCAGTGTCAAAACTTAAGGCAAAAAGTCCTTGACTTGCGTGCCAGTTTGGGGTGGTTTTTCCCATTCTCCTCATTGAAACCCGCCTGTTTGAAATATTGCTTAGTTGCGTTAGAACGCAGCCGTGTCTAGAACCGTTTGTCCAGATTCCTCGAATTTCATATTTGTGCTAGGTGGTGATTTGGGGTAGAGGCTGACCTGGAGTCTCCATTTTGGCGAACAGGTGTAAAGCTCTTCTGGCTCTCCACCTTCTTTCTTATCTGGCGCTTTGGGTATGCAAATAGAGACAGGTTGCTGGATGGCTCTGAGTATTCCTCTATTTCTTTTCCAGCTGTTATTGGTAGGGGGTAGAAAAATCCATAACGAAACACATTCCTTTCACCCCACCAACCCTTTGTGTGTGTGTGTGTGTGTGTGTGTGTGTTCCTGTTATTAAAACTGGCTCCTTGTTGCCTATTTGAGTGACGGTGTTGTCACTTAACAAGGTATGAGGGAATTTTTGTTTGTTTCTGCTTCAGAGAGGGAAGCTTAAGCGTTTAGTCTCTAGTTCCCCACCAGGTCTCAAGTGCTTCCTCCACAGGGTAGTGCCTGGTGTTGGGAGTTAAGTCTGCCACTATTCAGGCTGCTCACACTGCTGGTGTACGATACCTAGTACTGGTCAGTGTCTGCGAGTCCACCTGTTCACGGTGGATCCTGTTTGACTTACCTAGGCCGAAGACGTGTCCGTCATTGGAAGTCTGAATCGGTTTTTAGTTTCGGTTAGTTGGTTGTGGTTTCTCACCACAAAGTTTAGTTCTGGTTTTTGTGATTTTAATTAAGACTTCACGCCTAGCCTAGTAGGTTAAGGGAGACCTGTGCCGCAAGCAAGCCGCATTCCTCCATCCTAGTCCTTCCTGGAATCTCTGTTCTGTGTGGACAGATGGTTTGGGCCGAACCCTAGAAATTACCCTCAGCTATTGGTACTTCTCTTGTTAACATAAATATATATATAATAAATGTTTTCTTTCCCATTTTCTCTTCTAGAAACAAGTCCCAAGTTCTCTTAAAGGACACAGCAGAGCCATCCAGAATACTCTGACTGCTAAGTTACGATCAAATGTTTCTCTTGACTTAAAAAAAATTTTTTTTAAACTAGTGACAATTTTCTGATAGTATTTGCATGATGTAAGAGCACCAGCACCACACAGTGAATTGTCTGTCCTTAGTCCCCGCCACTGAAGGACCATGTACTCTGAAATACACTGGTCATTTTTAATTGCTTGTCTTCCTGGTAGTGTCAGTTCTTTGGCTCTCCTTTGAGATTGTATTAAGTCTACTGTGTTTGTCACATTCTTATTAGCACCTTTATTGCCCATGATATTTGTTTGGAAGAAGGAGAAACTGGAGAGCTGCTAGCCTGATTAGGTTACCATTGTGTTAGCATTGACTGGGGTGTAGTTCCTCTGTGTAGGTAGGGTTACCTTGGGTCTAAATGTTATAACTGCCCTTCAGGGGGAAAAAAAAGGCCAGTAGTCTACCTGGATCTTCAACTAGACAGACCACAGCCCACATTTCTGATGGTTTTGTTTTTAATTTAGCATAGTACTTTTTTAGAGTCAGGGCTGCCTTACACACTCTGGGATCTGAACAGTTTTATAACTCTCCCCCACTTGCCTTAGACATCTTGAAATTAAGACTTTTTGAACAAAAGTACTCTTTTTATTTTGTGTTGCGACCTACAGATTAGCTTAGCCTGGTTAGGTACTTTCTTATTTGTGTGGTCATTCTGTTGATAAATAACTGTATGCAGGCTCTGCGTACTTACTGGAATGCCACACCCTGCTCTGGAGGACTGAATGGTCACTTGTTTGGACGGTGTCATTTACTTTGGTACTCACTGAACCCACATGTTGTGGTTTAATGACAAATCTGCTATTGCATATTCTAATATTCGACAATTGTGTATTTAACTTTCTTCGAGATGCTAGCTGGCTAGTTGATTTAGTTCTGGATTTTAAGCAATATAAATTGAAGCTGAAATGGGGACGTGTATAAGCTTGAAAAACGTTTTATGAGCATGAAAAAATGTTTTCATGCAGGTTTAAATGACAACTTTCAGACTCAGTAGTAGAAGTTATATATGGTAAAAATCCCAAGTCTTAACTAGTGTTTAGGGAAATTTTTAGTAAAAAATTTTAACGAATCTGATATTTAGCTTTATCATGTACTTCATAAGTTTCACTGTCGTAAGGTCACGAAAAATTTTTAATTTCAAGGGAAAATCCCTTGTGTCTTTAACCCTTTTTCTCAGCCTGTAAGACAAAACCAAAGGCAATTCTTGTGTGGCAACACTATCCTAGGTGTATTTTCAAACTACCCCCAATATGCATTCTAAATTTCTGGACATTGGTATTAATAAAGATAATCTGCTTTTGGGTGGGGTGTTACCTTCTCAAACAATGTTTGATGCTCTGAATGCATCCATTTTACCAATGTCCTTAACTCCATGTTTTCTTTTTGACTGTTACTGAATCATTTATGGACTGACAGGTTTCCTTGTAAGATGTCTTCATACCTAGAAGGATAAGGGCTTTGGGAAGGCATGTGACATGGGAAACAGCCAAGAAGGTCATAAGAGTAAGTGTCATGATATGAAAACGAAATCAGTTTATGGTTTATCTCATTTACAACAAATGAACTGTGGTGTTTTTTTTTTTTTAATCTTTTTTTAAATGTGAAGTTTCCTGTTGTATATCTATATTACCAATATGGTGTCACTTTCTGACAGTTAAGAGCAAATTTGATAGGAAGCTGCTATTTCCCACTTATAAAAATTCTTAGTTTCAAAAAACTGGTAATTTTTTTCTCAGTAAACTTATTTGTGTTTAAAGGATAAAGGACTTTTTACAAAACACTGAAGTCTTAGTGCTATGTGCAATTTGAACTCATAGGTGGAGTTCTCTATATTTTTTTCCCCAGTCCAATTTAATAGTGATAGAGTAATACTAGACTCTTTTCTCTAACTTAAAGAGTTTGTCTCAAAAAATTAATTCTAAAATATTGGAGAAAGGAAATTGAAACATAACTTTTTTTTGAGATAGGGTTTCTCTTTGTAGCCCTGGTTATCCTGGAACTTACTCTAGACCGTGCTGGCCTAGAACTAACTCACTAGACCCACCTGTCTCTGCCCCCCAAGTGCTGGGATTAAAGGCATGTGCTGCGGACACCACCTGCCCTCTTTATGTTTTTTTAAATATTATTCTTTAATTGTGGAGAAGAAAGTCATTTAAAAAAGGAAATTTATGTTCTAGTTAACTCTTCTTTTTCTCCATAGTTCTGTTGCTGTGGGATGTTCATTATTTTAACAGCTTTAAAAACTGTATTAATGGAATATTACCACCCTGTATTTCTGTAAGCATCAGGGAGGTAAACTGTTTTATCCAGGATGGTATTTTATTCACTTTCTCTGAGCCATGGTCAAAGTCACTTTAAAGTTTCATTAGACACTTTCTTGACTGATTTTATTTAGAGCAAAGGGTACTGGCTGCTTTGCAATGTTTTGCTTTTCCATATCTCTTTATTGTGGAGTGTATAAAATGCACACACCTTTAATCCCAGCACTCAGGAGGCAGAGGCACGTAGTGTGAGTTCCAGGACAGCCAGGACTGCGCAGAGAAACCCTGACTGGGAAAACAAAACAAAACAAAACAAAAAATGCCATGTATTAATACTTAGGATCTGAGTATCTGGGAATATTTGATTGACGCTTATAGATCTGGCCTGTCTTATTAGAGAAATGCACGCATACAGAAAATTCCATAGCATTTTTACCTTCTAGAGCAAAGATTATTGAAATTAGATTATTAAAGTTTGGAAGAAAGGATTTTAGAAATTGGAGTTGCAATACTCTGACAAGAGCTAAGAGTTTGTCTCTAGTTGAGTTGCCCCCATTGGGCCTGTAGCTTTCTTTGAAGAATGGCTGCAAGCCTGGCCGTTACCTCGTAGTTTGTTTTAGGGCCCGTCCTGTTTTGGTAAGTAAATATCACACATGCACGGGCTCCTTGGCACAATGCTGCCAGCTTTCTGCTGAGTTGCTTTGCCTCAGTAGGTTTTGTCACTTCGGCTCAGAGTCTTGATTTAGCAGAGCCAGGTGGAAAATACCAGGCTTGAGTGCAGATGTTTCCAGTGCCCGATTTAAGCTTAGTGGCTTGTCCTGGTTCCTTTAACACCCCACCCCCTCGCCCAACCTCACTTTCCTCATCAAGGACTAAGTAAAAATGAGCATATTGACATTGAAGTACAGGTTTTTGGACAGTGTTTACTGAATTATAAAAGTAGTAATAGGCGATCACTCTAGGATCGTTTTACATACTTTTGGCTGTCATTGTGTTGTTTATGAACATTCTTTTTTCTTTCTTTTCTGGTTTTTGGAGACAGGGTTTCACTGCCTTGGCTGTACTGGAACTTGCTCTGTAGACCAGACTGGCCTCGAACTCACAGAGCTCTGTCTGCCTCTGCCTCCCGAGTACTGGGACTAAAAGCGTGCTCCACCACCGCCCGGGTTTATGAACCTTCTTTAAATAATCCAGAGTCTCTGTCTTTGGTACTTGGGATCAAACAGAGTTTTCCCCTATGTCCATAGTACTTGTAACACTCACTACACCCGTAGCTCTATAACACACCACTATATGTTTTTTTTTTGTTGTTGTTGTTGTTGTTTCCCCCCCCATGGAAGACGAGGAAAATCAAAAGCTCCAGCAGTTTATTTATACCTTGAATATTTCGGTATGGAATATAATATAAATTGCTGATGAGCATGGAAGGAAAGTTTAAAATGTATTTTTCTTGAAAATATAAATACTCCTAAAAGATGAAATATTTTAGATGAGATGAACATTTAGCCAGCTATTATTCCAGGAAATTTAAAATTTAAAATTTAAATTTCCCATCTTTCAGTGAGAAACCAAATTGTTAAACTTGAGCACTTTTTATTAAATAATCAGTGAATTTTTTTCCTGGTTTGAATTTGACTTTCTTTCTTACTGGGGATCTGTTTCCTACATCACACAGTGGAGTTTGTGGTGTACATTTGCTATGTTTCTTTTGGTTCCTTGCCCCACCCAAGTGACAAGCCATTGATGGATGCTCTGCCAAGTAAGTTATTGGAAATTGCTCACTAGCTCCATTTTTAAAGGCTGCTTAGGACTTTTTTTTTTTTTTTTTATTATTCTTCGGGCATCATTTGTGTCTATCAGAAATATAAGAGGTATTTCTCAAAGCAAATAAATCACACTGCATTTGAAAATAAATTCAGCAAATTGGGAAGATAGGGAAAATATTCCTGGAACTGATCACGCTTTGTCTTGTTTCCTTCAAACTGCTTTTCAAAATAGAAAGTCTGACTTTTCTGTTTCACTGGCTGCTTTACTGTTGGGGCCCCTGGTGACATGGTGTGGGAGGGTCACCTACTTGTATTGTAGAGCAAACTACAATGTGTAACATACACAATCCGTTATGGGATGAACACATTTTATCATCCATATAAGATACATTCCATATGCGTTTACTGAACCCTGCTTTCCTCCCTGGGATTATCCATTAATTCTTGTTATTCTTGTTTGTTTGTTTGTTTTGTTTTGCCTTAGAACCTGGTTGTTCTTTTAGGCCTAAATCCCAGGTCCTCAGGTCCTCAGGATTTTTGACTTCCCACCATCCCTTCCAAAGTGAAATGAACCTGAACCAGCCACACCCTTTCTCTGTCCTCTGACCCCTGTGCTTTGGCACCTGTCCCTTATTTATGCTTTTGAGCCTCGTACTAGCTTTCCTTTGAACTTCTTAATCTCAGCCAGGGTCAGGTGACACTTATTATTTGTTCCTTTATTGTCTTTTCCTGCTTGTACTTTTTCATCATCTCTGATGGGTGTTCTTACATTTCAGTCATTGCAGAGTATCTTCTGTGACTAAATGAATCTTTGCTGCAAGAAAGAGAAATGCATGTGGATGCTTGTTCCACACAGTGGCTCTCAGGCAGGTATGACCTGCAACTATTTAATTTTGCCTCAAGTCTTTTTTTTTTTTTTGTGGTTTTATTTTTGATTTTTGAGACAAGATTTCTCTGTGTAGCCCTGGTTATCCTGGAACTCCTGTTCTGTAGACCAGGTTGGCCTTGATCTCAGAGATCCTCTCCTGCCTCTGCCCCATGAGTGCTGGGAATAAAGGCCTGTAACACCACCACCCCACATTTTTTTTATTTTTATTTTTATTTTTTAAATAAGGTCTCATGTATCCCAGGCAGATTTCAAACTTTCTGGGTAGCCAAGGATGACCTTGAACATCTTAGTCCTCCTGCCTTCATTTCTGAAATGCTGTGGTTGTAGTTTTATATGGTGCTGAGGATCCGGTTCCACGGGATGTATGTGCTGGATAGACACTCTACCACCTGGGTTGCATCCCCAGGCCATGAACTATAATTTTAAAAGTTGTGAGTCATCGTCATCATCGTTATCGTCATCGTCATTATTAATATTATTTGAGTTTGGAAATATCATATGCAGACCCATTGCCATACTTACTGCCTCATGAAAAATTGAAGGGACCCAGGAGCAGGGTCCACAGCTGTCTGCTGAAGATTAAACGGGATTCTGTGGATCTGGGGGTACGTCACTGTCACTCCTTGCCCTTTGTGACTGACGTTCCAGCTCTTGGGGCCATAGGGTGTAGGAAGTTGACTCACATAAAGATTTTTGTTTTTTTGAATTGCTCTCTGGTGTGTGTTTGAGAATGATCTCTGAATTCCGTTAGATTCATTGCAGATTTAGATCCCATCTCTTCCTTCAGTTAGAGAAGTCCTGCTTTAGTCTCCCTTGCTAACTTTTGGTTGAAGAGCAGCTCCTCTTGTAGCACGTGTGCTGCTTTCTCACCGCTTCCATCTTCCCTCCAGTGCTTTTAGAACCTGGAACCCTCTTGCCTGATGCCTGCCTCTCTCTATGTTTTTAAAGATCTTTTGGGGTCAGCAAAAGATTCCTGGTGTTGGGAAAACTAATAGGATGTTATGAGCCATTTAAAAGAGGCTCCTGGCCTCCTGCTAGTCTCATTGCTGATGGTGTCAGCTTAGAAAAGACATTCTCCTCTCAGATGGCTTCAAAAAGAGCTGATTGGACAGGCTACCAGGTGTGCGGTTTATATGTGTTTCGCTCCCTTCCTCCCCTTATTCTTTTCAGCCATCGGCCCTTTCTCCCCCTCTTTAGAAACAGCAGGGCACCTTTAGTGCGCTTTCTCCCATGTGTGCAGTAGAGCAAGCTGATGTGCCAGCAGAAGTAGGAAGAGGCACCACATGTCATGTTTGGACCAATGCTGTAATTTTATTTTACAATAAAGAAGGTGGATATTATTAATCTACTCCTGAACATAATAGCACGATTTGAATAGCAGAGAGCAACTTTGGTGTGTGTTAATGTCTAGTGAGATGAATGCAGATGAATGCTAAGTAGGTAGAAAATGTCAGTGTAGAGCCTTCCTTTCGGTGACTTTAAGCACTTATATTTCTAGTTAACTTTTTGTTCAGCCTGGCAAACAGATATGAAGACCTATTCTATCAAGCCAGCATTAGTGCAGCTCCTGAGGATGAACAATGCCCA